TTCCCGTGTCTAGGCTTGGGCAACCTGGTAGCGGTAGCCCAGCCCTTCCTTCGGGTGGCATGGCAGCCAGGTACCGGAAAGGCGTTACCGCTGAACGAGCAGTGATTAACCATAGCGCTACTGTCGACAAGATTCTACATATCCCTTTTTGTTCAACCTAATTTACCACAGACCGCTACACAAAGGAAGGGGTGAACCGAGTATTGCCTTTCGAACAAAATGTGCCACAATTGTTTTGTTTCAAATGTGATCCACAGAGCTTTCCAGTCGGCCTTACTGTCTACGTGTAAAACAAAATTCGCAGCCGATCTCTCCAGTTGCACAGTTTCGCGCTGAATTCAGTCAGTTTCAAAGCCATTTTCACGACACAGTATGATTGTTCTACTCTTCGACTCACTGCCGAAGATGGGGGTACTTAGAAAGACTGTCGAGTGGTTCAAACGCTTGCCCAGACATTTCCAGAAAGCTGGCTGTTTACTCATCTTGATTCAGAAATCATCAGTGTGAGAGATAAGCGATCGTTTCGTGTTGACTGTCAGACTAAATTTCGCAACTCGGTTGGTGAGGTTTAACAAAGTGTGCTTTGTGAATTTCCCTCAAAATGTATGGGCATTCAAGCACAGAATACAGGCTAAGTTTGCTGAGTGCGATGGGATACGACGTCGAAGTTGCAAACGTGTACATTCCAATACATCAACGCGACATCTTCTCACTCCTTCTCAGCCGCATTGATGATCTATTTGGATAGTACTCCCCAAGTCTGAATACATCGAACTAATCTAATCTAATCGTTCAGCTATAGCTGCCATGCCACACCAATGAGGCACGAGGGCTGGGATACTGTCAGGTAGCCCAAGCCTAAACAAGGGAAGTCGAGAGGTAGAGGTCGGGTTCGAACCACAGGTCTTCCGTCAAACTGATTCCATCTTACCCCTCTGCACTGAAAAGAATATTGCGTGTGCTAGCGCAAAACACGAGGCCCAAACAGACTTTGTGTTTGTCAGTGACCCTCGGATCCAGATGAGTGCGTCCCCTACGAATCTTTAGACAATTCAGACGGCGTGCGTTCAAATCAATAGATTAATGGTCTATGCTTCTTTAAGACTCCAAGCCTTAATTTTTCACAGAAAAGAAGCCGCCCACAGAAAAAAGCAACGTTGGTCAGCATAAGCTATGGTGACAAAATTGTCACCTTATCGCTGACTATCCTGCCTTAGTTTGTTACACTTAGCCAACGAAACAAGGTCAACTTCCCAGCTGAAACTCAACCACTCTTTTTGTGTTTTGACGTTACTCTATTTAAGTAGTGTTTCAATTGGAAGCAAATATTACTAGCATGAGGACTCACGTTTCTTTGATCAAGACGTTCTTTAAATGGAAGTACTTTATAAGAAGCGAACGGGCATACTTGAGTTGTGATCACAACGTTTTCTTCAGGACAACCCATTTTTTCTTGTTTTCCTGATGAGAATCTCCGCGGTGAAATCCTTCCTAGGGGCTCTTGAGTCAAAACAAAGACGTTTCTCCGTCCCATATATGTTTGTTACGTGATTGCAGGGGGCCTGCCATTTATAAGATAGTTGACCTTGGGAAATTGCAACCTGCGTCGCTCCTCTCGATGTGTCTTTCAGGAATCTATAAGGCCTTTGATGGGTGTGAGGTGGCGAACAAAGTAGACTGGCTAAACCTTAGAGGCAAAAGTAGTGAGCGAAATCAGTTTTCCCAAAGCAAACTACTCACAAGGTTGCTGAAAACTCTTCGACATCCCAACGCCGATTTCGCCCTTTTGCTCCGGGTTCATCAGGTAGACGCACTCCCCGAGTTTTCCTCAACTAGAGATTCAGTTGAGTCTCTCGTGAAGACCAAATTGATTCGCAAATGAGAGTATTCCACCAAAACAGTCCAATTTGGGTTCAAGTAGAACGACAAGGTTGATGGAAACTCGGGGACGGGGCCTACCTGATGAGCCTCATGAAGGGTGAAACCCGTGGTGGGCTGTCGAAGAGTTTTCAGCAACCTTGTCAGTAGTTTCCTTTACGAAAATATACATGTCGAATATCGTGCCACATGAAACATGAGTTGATCTTTGTACAGCACATTCGTTTGAAGTACGAGTAGTCCATTCGATACCTTCATTCATTCAATACCTTGCATAACTGACTAAAGTGAACTGACCAAATGGTCTGGTACTAGACTGTTCTCAAATTTAAGGAGGCTGCTCACCACGTAACTTGATATAATCACCGGTTCGGTATCGCTTTGCGAGGGCAGAGTAGTCAGAAAAAGGATTGCTGTTACTGAGGCTGTAAATTGTGATTGAGCCACCTACGATGACTGGGAAGTTCCCTCATTCCCAGCAAATCAGTTCGAATCTGTAAAATTGTTCCCTCTGGTGGCTCTTGAGCTGCTGCACTAGGCGGTGTCCAGTGTGGTGCGAACCGAGGATAACCATGTAAGCGCATCATAAGGGTGCGCAGGTGTGTCAAATAGATTGGCGTATAAGTACACGTAAGGCCAATGGATTTACCGAACATTCAGACACTAGGTGAAGTGGGAAGCTTCTTGGTGGTTTTTGAAAACTTTAAGAACATTCTTCAGACGTCAAAAATGGATGCACTATCCGCTGGGAAAAGATTTCACCCGGGGATAGTGAAAACAAATGTTCTGGCAGACAGATCTCCATCAGATTCGAACTGTGCTGATCACTGGCGATCCCAACATATGGTCCACGCCTTCCTCCAAACGTTACTGTGATACTTGCAGAAGGGGACATGTCGAATCAGGAACTATTTGGGACTAATTTTCGTGTTAATGTGTACCGCAAGTTATCGAAGAGAACGAACGCATACGTACATAGAAACAAACAAACAAACTTGGTGACCAGCGCTCGTCTGTACTCATCGTCAATTAACGTCATCAATTAGGCAGCCAACACGCCTGGACTCATGTCTACGTGCCCCTCTAGCTATATTCATCCACTCATCCATCTTGTTCGTTCGTTCGTTCGTTCGTTCACCCGTTCGTTCATCCATCCACTTTTCAGACATGTATTCGTTAATAGTTTCACCATGGCTTAACCCGTTTCGCCAATCTCTCTACTAGGGGTAACGTGCACACACCTGCAAAAACCCCGTGTTCGCTTACTCACACTTTGTTGCTTTTGTCTGTGTGGCTGTGTGTTTTGCTCGCCTCATTACACAAGCAACACGCACGAACACCCATGGTGTTTATATCATGGTTTCTCGATCGTATGTTGTCTTTTTCCCTCTCTCTCTCTGTGTGTGTTGTGCCCATCTTTTTGCGCATGTGTGCATCTGCGTGAGTCCAAACTATCAATTAAGCTTCATCAAACTAATTTACCCATCTAGCAAGCTCATACGAGTCCTATTCTCTGTCGCTAATCCACTCCCAACCCCTCCCGTTCCACACACACCCACAACCACACACATGTATGCACCACTCAATGATAATTATCACTCTGTCCTACCACTAATAACATTCCCATCTGGCCGGTTTGAAAGCAAATGGCCTACATTCTGAGCAGTGTTCATACCCACAATCGACCCGATGCTCTCGGACAATCTATGGAACATTTTGCATTGTTCCGTCCGATTGTTGTTTGATCCGTACATGGTAATATTGGTTTGTCCGCCCAGTTTCAACACCCTCACCGTCCGTACACATCACGCATATGTATATATATACACATATATACTGTATCCATTCGATTACTGCCCAGAGAAAACCATAGCTTGCCCTCGTTTCCATCCGTCGTGTTATCGCTGTTGTCTTGTCGTTGTTGATGTTGTTGGTTTCGTTACCTATGCTCTTGTCCCAATTGTTGACTAATCATCATGCTATTAACATCACTTAATTAGGATATACACACACACTAATCAACAAGAGTTTATCTCACACCGCAGGTGGGCTTTTGCCCACACGTTTTCCGGGCTGCTTGTTCAATTCAGTCTTCTTTGTTCATGCGCGTAAAGAGTGGGGACATGAGTAGACGTGCCAACTCTGCCTCACATATGGTCGATCTCTTGCCGGCTTCCAGGCGTATACATATAGTCATACACGCATATTGGCCAGCTTAGAAAGAAGAGCATGTTCAAAGACCCGCAGTACCCTCAGAATACACCAGTGATTGGAAAATGGGTTTTGACATCGCGTTTTGTGAATTTTCGAGCCATCGAATTGTCGTTGTCCAGAGCAAATGATGGAAAAAATCGATCACCAGCCACCTGTTGCTCGTCTTGGAACGAGATGGGCGGATTCACACCCAGATGAGCCCCTAAAAATGGAGAAAAACTGGCATCGGGCTGTCGAAGATTTTTCAGCAACCCATTAAGTAGTATGTTTCGTGAGACATAACAGTAGCAAAACTGTGCATCACTGCAAACGAGTTCCGGGTTTCGATCTCCTTCAGTACTGGGATAGTCTAGATAAACTGACATATGCTCTCATGGACTTCATTTTGAACAGTCTGGCTTCCCTCAAACTTCTGCTCTGAGGGAGGTTGCTGGGGGTGTACTGATAGGTTGTACAGGCGTTACCGAATCCATGAACAGAATATCCGGTTTTATTTAACCATCTACATTCGAACAAACTGAAAATGAATGAGCCCTTCCTTTTTAGATGAGCGTTAGCTTTACTACAGAATAACATGGAAACCGGACGACTCCTTTTGGTCTCATGAAACTGTCTGATTTCAGGCAGACATCGGCACACTTCCTTGAAAGGCCTCGGAGACTAGGCTGCCTGAGATGTCACGTAGCGAGTTTCCGTCCCAAGAGGTTCGGCTTTGTTGTACCGTTGGACTCACTTTCACTGAAAGGCATGACCAGAATAAGCCGTGTTCAAACGGATGAGTAGCCTGATGTGAGGCTTTGTTTAGGGAAGCTCCTGAAAACTCGATTCCACTAATTGACTCCAATTCTGACACTCAGGTGTTTTTCCTCAAAGTAGCTGAAGTCAGTTTTCTCACTTCTGATCCACAGAATCGATCGATCAAACAAACTATTGCAGTTATGCAGTCAAACACAATATGAGTAGGCTGTCAACATCTTCAATCTCGGCGAGACACATTGCTGAAGATGCCAGGTGTAGAACAGCGGACGATCCAGCGTTGATTGGTCAACCAGCTCCACGAACATCCTCGTCCCATGGTGTATTTGGCGTAAATGCACTCAGTGATTCTGGAGAGTTGCCAACACCTTCCAGTTCCCCACTGGCTTCGGAAAACAAAGGGAAGAAGGCACGCCACAGGTGAGTCAAACCAACTGTGATATCTCTTTCTTTCGGTACTAGGCTGGCGCGAATCGTGAACAGGGTTAGTCTGAATATGCACTCATTTGCAAACTAATTTGGTTTTTCGAGAGACTCACCTAGAACCCAGCCGAATCTGTCGTTTGTGATGTTCTCAGGCAACTGAATGTGCTGCACTAGGCCGCCTCATGTTTCAGTCGTTACTATATTCGAGATATCGCGATACATGTGTATCTTTCAGCAACCTTATGAGTAGTATATTACAAGGGTTAGTCTGACTTTGTAGAAGCAGTCGTTAGGTTATAGTAAAACATAATAAGACGGGAATTGATTTCTTCTAGTTGACCCTATCAGAACTGCCCCACAGGTAGTGGATATGGGACTTGATTGCTCGAGACTGTCTTTTTCCCAAGCAGCTCTAAACGACAAAAAAGGTTGTGACCTTCAACTGGCTGATCTGCATGACTTTCTCCACCTTCTTTGAGTTGGACGGTGAGATCAACGGTGATTTTTTTTAAAAAGAAAGGTGTGCGAATGAGCCAACATCTTCTCTAGTATGGATGCATTTCTCAAAATTTGAGGACGATTAGAGTGACCGATTCGGGAAACGTAACATTGTTGGGTGTTTGACCTTAGCGAAATATACCTGTTTATGATGTTTTCAATGAGAGATCCGGCTGGGTTCCAGGTGAATCTCCCAGAAAACCATTTTTTTGCAAATGAACGTAGTTCAATAACTCCGTGCAATTCGGGTTCAAGTAGAACATAAGGTTGACGGAAACTCAAGGACTGAACCTACCTGATGAGCTCCAAGAAGGGACGGAACCGGTCGTGGGCTGTCGACGAATTATCAGTAACTCTATGAGACGTGTATTACGAATATGTCTGAAATTTAGTTTGCAATCCTCCCACACCCGGAATAAGAGCCACCAGTCTCCATTTTCCCGCATTTGACTTCTTTTAACTGACTGTTTACATTTGTCGCTGAATAATCGATTGTATGTTTAATTGTCCTTCTATTCTTTCAGAACAACGTTCTCCGTCCATCAGCTATCCATCCTGGAAGCAGCATTTGACAGCTGTCCCTACCCAGACGCAGTAACTCGTGAAGACATTGCCTCGCGACTAGCTCTGAGTGAATCCCGGGTGCAGGTGTGGTTCCAAAACCGACGTGCCAAGTGGCGAAAACAGGAAAACGGTCACCTGTTAGGTGGCAATGCAGTGTCCATAACAAACAGCCACAATACCACCCCTATCAACAACGGCAACAGCAGTACTAACAACAATAGTAATAGCTTCGATGGCGAGGATATTGATTCTTCCATTTCTCTGAGGAGTCATGATCGAAGATCTCCAAACAATCGTCCTACGGACCTGAGTACTGTCAAATCCCCGATTTCATCCAATGGAATTCATGGATCCTTGATGGACTGTGATCCAAGGACCGGGATTAGCCCGCAGTCCTCTGAGCGTCAGAATTCTCCCCTACCTCTGGTGATACAAAAAGAACCTGAACAAGATTCGAAATCATCATCCGGGACCAGAAAGATCACGGCGGTCTATCCGTATTCCGGGCAGAAAGGTTCAGACCCGTTTGCTAGACCTGATTACAGTCCAAGCGCCAAAGTTTCAACGAATTTCAATCCTTCTTCGTTTTTGCGTACCTACGGTGCTCCGATGACTGGTTCCGGGATAAAATGGCACTTTATGAATTCGGCTAGCGTCCAAGAATCCAGCAGGATGGATGACCTTCCATTCTCTGTTTCTGCTCTGACAAGAAGTAGCGCAGAGTTCGGCAATGGGGATGATGAAACCGGTGATAGTGAACATTCGGCGATCAAACGAAATTCCTCCTCACCTCCTGCCATTTCTCTAGAAGGAACCGGTCCAGACCGCCTAACAATAGCCGAATCGAACAAGTGGCAAAAACATTGTTTTCAGGAAGAATCACCAACCAGTACAGCTTCTGTGATCAACAGTGCGCATGAACTGTCCCTCGGTTTGAATTCCCTCTTTCGGTTACACGGCCGTTCTTCCCGCAACCAGCACAGTCGTGCGAATGACGAACCTGCCGATGCGACAAACTCATGGTTCAGAGATGCGGTTGTGCGAACCATTGTGTCACTAAATGACCACTTCTCCACCGGACGCGCGGTAGGCGAATCCATAACTCTAACACAAAGTACTTCTCCGTGTTTGCCAACCCCACCTTCGCTGGTCAGTGGCTGCGTGTCCTCAGGGACGCCTGATGACCACATGATGAGTAAGTCCACTATCAAATTTTCCATCGACTCATTTACTGACTGCTTTGTCCTCTGGGAAATTCGCATTGTATTAACACATTTGTTTCACAGACCTGATTCATATCCGATATGATAGCCTGCTCAAAGTCAGGTCAAGAAGTACTGGAAGATCAGTATCAATAATGACACATCTAACGTCTTGACCTGGTTGTGCACATCACTATCAATAGAGCACTAACCAGGTTGTCTTCAAAACGTCAACCAACTCGGTAGCCTTTGGTAACGACACACTGTGTGTACTATGTGTGTGTGTGTGTGTGTGTGTGGGTGGGTGAACACACCTCGATCTCGGAAACAGAGCCGTCAAAACTGATGGAGATCATTCAACCTTACGGTCAGTGAGGAGGACACCTGGCACTTATCTGATCCGTTCAGTGCCAGCACACATTCGCCGGAGTGTCTTGTAAATAAATTAATAGGCTTTCGCACAACAGTAATTGTGTGTGTGTACCAAATATCGGCTTGGGTCATTGCATCTGTCATGTTTTCAGTTTTTTTTGGTGTGGACCAAGAAGTCGCAGCTTCCTCGATCATCAGTGTGTGATGATCTGAGTTGTTCACTCGACCTACTTATTGTCAAAAACCGTCTGTCTGTCATTAAAAACCATCAAGCCGGGTGAATTTGATCGAAAAATGTATACGTACGCGCTCAATTAGTGAGCAGAGTGGTTCTTTAGGCCAGACGAAAGGCGTCTCATCCCTAGCAACGCGAATCCCCATGATGGAACCCTGATGAGTAAACCGATGCAAAGGTTGAGGTAACTGGTGAAAGAGCTGTTGAATAGCACCCAACACCGTCAATCAAATGTGTACGGAAATACCGAACTTTGATTATGCGTTGACTTCCTTTCGAAGAGAGCAAGCCTTTGAAATCCCCAGGACTGTGTCTCGGTTTTTCAGGACATCACGGTTTCAATCGATGTGATTGAGGATAGCGCGACCACACATTGTTTTCAGTCAGTGTTCGTCGGTTTTAACGAGCCCCAAAAGCAGTGCTGTGGAGACTTTTATTACTTGACAAGACAAGGAGTTAATCACACTGCTGATCAGCTGCTCGTGACAAAACGTTCAAGTTTTCAAACTACTAGCCTAGGTCACTGGTTCGAAACCTTCTACTGGAGTTTTTTTTGGACATATACTACTGATGATCCCCAACGAGGATGGAATGGTTGGTTTTTCAGCACAGAATGACGAATTCAATTGAAAACCATGCAAATTCGTTCGCTGTAGCTCACATAAAATGGATTCGTCAAAATCGATTCGTGAAAAGTGACTCCAACTTTGGGCATGCCTGTTCAGCCGAAATGTCACACGGGTCAGTTCAAATGTGCCGGCAAAAGTATCTATTCCTCCAAGAGCTTTATTACTGCGCAAACCCATTTCAGGGGTGCGCAGTGACAAAAAACAGTAAGGAACTCCTGTCAACAGAACCTAAATGTCCAGGGGTGTAAGGTATTTCTTCTTCTGTGATTGTTGTTCACATGCGTCCAAATACGATGCAAAAATCAACAGATTTTTCCTGAGCCTACCTGATCTGATTGGTTGGGTTTTCTAACAATTAGACTGGGACTTAGATCGCAATGCACTACTCATAAGGTTGCTGAAAATTCTTCAACAGCCCACGACCGATTTCGCCTATCTTGGGACTCAACAAGTAGACGCAGTTCCCAAGTTTCCGTCGATCTTATGTTCTACTTGAGACCAGATTGCATGAAATAAGCGAAATACACTCATTTGCAAACAAATTTGTTCTTTGCGAGAGACTCACCTGGAACCCAGCTGGATCCCTCGTTTATGATTCAACTGGGTTGAAGGTGAGTCTCTCAAAAAACCAAATTTACTTGCAAATGAGTGTATTTCGCAAGGATTTAGACTATTTTTGGTCGTGACGTAGAGTTCTTTCTAACAGCACACCGCGCATTCGCCGCACCGCAAAGCACTTGAGTGCGGGGATTACAGGTTGACTGTGGTCACGTTGTCTTAGTTCACAGATCTTTTCAGGCACGGGGAGCTTGAAATAGTTATGATATGGACACGGGGGTGGCCACGTCTAGGGTTTTCCAAGCTTACTTTCACAAAGTACGAGCCCTACTGAACTTTGCTTATTCGTGGGCACATGATTATGGAACAGCAATCTGATCACCCGCAGCTGCCGTTGACAAACCGCGAGGTGAATATTGATCCGAGGACAATCTTATCACTTTGGGGTCTAACTGGTGTTCCCACCGTTGGGTGAAAGGAACCGGAGAAGACTCCTGCCGCTTAGCATACGGTGTCTTCGGGAGAGGGGGTTGTCTCACCGGACTGTGTTTAAAGGTTCACCAGCGTTCGAAATATCAATTGAAGATAACTGCTATTCATTGGGAGGCGAGATGTCTCAGGTGGTTCGGGCGCGAATTTCCTAACCAGAAGGTCTGTGGTTCGAAACCGACCTCTGCCTCTTGACTTCTGCTGTCTATGCTTGGGCAACCTGACAGTAACCCAACACTCGTGCTTCCTTCTAGCGGCACGACAGTTAGGTACCGAAAAGGTGAACGATTATTGCCATTCGTTGAACCCTGTTTGCCAATTTGACCTGTCGACTAGGATGTTGTTGTTATCGAAGCTCATAAAATCCAATCGGACAATTTTACGTCGATACTCGCACACACTAAATTAAGCCCGACTCGAAGAACAATGTTTCGTTCTTTCTATTGGTTTGTGTGGTTACTTGAGCTAAGGCAATTGTTAAGAATATTGGATGATGTAGAGACGTCTTCTCACGTGAAACTTCTCACAAGGCTGTTGAACAATCTTCGACCGGTTTCACCCTCCCAATTCGGGCTCATCAGGTAGGCGCAGTCCCCGAGTTCCCGCTAACCTTATGTTCTACTCGAACCTAAATTGGACTGGTTTCGACGGATACACTCATTTACAGATCAATTTGGTTTTCACGAAAGACTCAACTGAATCTCTCGTTTACGATATTCTTCAACTGAATGTGCTGCACACAGGCCGCCCCATGGTGAGCCCTAAGAAGGGTGAAACCGGTCGTAGGCTGTCAAAGAGTTTTCGGCAACCTTGTGAGTAGTTTCATTTATGAAAAAAATAATACGATATCTCGAATATCGTGACAACTAAAACATGAGGCGGCCTGTGTGCAGCACATTCGGTTGTAGAATATCATAAACGAGAGTTCTAGTTGAGTCTCTCGTAAAAACCAAGTTGAGTTGCAAATGAGTGCTTTCTCATACTGTTTTCAGTGGGAATTTCCTTCTCTAAGAGAAGGGAAACCTCTGTACATTACTGCTTCTTTGTGTAGCCCACCAGTGCCCGAGATAGATTTTCCAACTCTTTTATGGTGTCGTGTGCCGTATGACATAGGAACAAGTCACACTAGTGTCTAGATTTTTCCTTTTAAAATTCAGGGAATCCCTCTTGTAAGCAAGTTTACTTTCTTGATAGTAGTGGGTTATTTCGCCTTGCTGTTTCTCTAGATTTGCTGAGCCACTTTTGTGAAAGACAGTATCGTTCAGGAGGCTGCGTGGAGATCGAAGGGCAGCATGCTACATGGTGAATGGAGAGTCCACCCCGAGGCATTGTGCACCGCAAATGACAGGTTCTCAAGAGTTTGCGAAGACTTGGCAATATGTGTAAATGTTGGTAACTTGGATTGATCAGAGGGTAGTTGAACAGGGCAACTGATATGCAAACGTTCTGTGAGGAGACATCGTCAAGCGGATCGATCAAAGCATCTCGTCCTCATAGGGGGTTATTAGACTCGACAAAGTACTGCCGAAATGCGCGAGAAGCACAAATGATCAATCCACTGGCATCACTGGAACCAGGTGTTCCGTTCATCCTATGATTCGGGTTCCCTTTACAAGATCCTAGCTGGTTACCGATAACTGTCCAGAAGAGTCATCGATGCTAGACCAACTTACGGCGCGTGTATGTTTAGTGACAGGTGCTGGGAAGCTGGAGTAGACCAAAATGAACAATTGCAATTATCTTGTTAGTAAATCAAAAGGTGTCTAGTCCCTTAATGGTCTGTCGGTCTTTCATCCTTGCAGTTGATAATTAGCTCTAGACTACCCGGACTGAGCCTAATTCAGCAGCACGAATATTACTCCCGCCCGATTATTGTTTATCTCAAGGACACACACGCGCTCCAAATGACTGTTCTCTGCCTGTCCCATTAATATTTATTTAGGCGTTATACACCGTAGTTTACGGAGCCCTATCGAGCTAATAACAACGAGCGACATTGCAATTGTGTGCGTTTGCGCGTGTCTCACATCCACTTTCTCTCGGTCACGCGCGCACTCGTCCAGCAATAAATCAAACGCGTGCTACAACAGCACAAAGGAATGCTTACGCAGACCGTGCCTGAGCTGATGATCATTAGATCGGCTAAACAGAATAAGCCTGTTTCTTCTTGTCCTCTTCATTAGTGGTGATTAACCTCCGCTCACCGACCAGTGCGCCTAGACGCCGCTCATGCTCACACACACACACACACACACAACCTTGGTTACCAAAGACGGAATCAATTCATTTACTTTATTTGCTTGATGCATTTGTTGTTGTTGCTGGTTGCTGTTGTTTGCTGTTCTTAATGGTATGCATTCGTCGCTCAGCTTCTGGCACCATCCAATCTGAGGTGAATTCCATTTTCAATAGGAGCGTATGCAGCTACAGTGTGGCGGCCGACGACACTGTCTCATCAGAAGTTTTGTTGGCAAACAGGGTGTGAGCACATTGAAAAAAAAACACACATGATGTAAGCTGAACCACTGTTGCGCTAAGGGGCTGAGTTCACGATCGCACAGGAGATCTCTGTGTCTGTCCGCCTGTGACAAGACTGCTGACAGAAGTTGACGCAGAATGGGTAATAAATAAATATTGCCAGATATGAAGGAATGTTTCGAAGGTGTTGAGAGGCTCAAGATCAATTAGTCCGCGTGTATATTCAGGATGA